CGGGCGTGTGAAGGCACACTTCAGGTGCCTCCTGCTCTGCCTGGAATTGGGGGTGCAGCATGTCCCGGAGGTCATAGTGGCGTGCTGCGTGCTGCACAATATCATTGAGGGGAAGGGGGAGGATCCCTCACCAGCCTCCAAGAAGGCCCTGGACACTCCATGGCTGCTGAGCCGGGCCGGTTGGGTCTGGCTGCCGTCCTCTGCCTCCTCCTCCTTGGTGGACCAGTCGTCCTCCTCCTCCTGTGGTTCCGGTGGTCGGACCACCGGGGTGGCTACCGGTGAGTCGACCCGTGACTGCAGGGCCTCGGCCCCTGTGTCCGCCAGATGCTGTGTAGGCATTGGTAGTGGGAGCAGGCAATAGCTCTGGCAACCCCGCGCTCGCTGGCCTGCACATAAGCGAGCAGCAGGTCTTTCACCTTGGCCTGGACCTGTTCCAGGGTCCGGGTCGGGTGTCCTTGTGCGTTCAGTGCTTGGGCCATCCTGGAGAAGATCTCTGCCTTTCACCTCCTGGACCCTGAGGTCCAAGAGGGCCTCAACCTCGGTGGTGCCCCAGCATGGGGCCCATGGCTTGGTGCCCTTGTGGGCCTGCTGGATGCTCTGGGGTGGCTCCTGGGTGGGGCCTGTGGGACGTTGTGGTGGCTGGGTGGCTGTCATCCCTCCCCCTGGCTGCTACCCAGGCTGCGTGTGCCGCACAGCTTCGCAGGGTGCCTGTGCCTTTAATGGGGGGGTGGGGTTGGCTAGGGGAATCAGCGAGTTGTGATTGCATGTACAGAGTGTTGGAGAGGCCACCTGTGTTTTTCCCTGGAGGCCAGTTCTTGCACAAGAAGCCCCTTCCGTGCGTCCACACTGCCCTCCTGCGCAAGAGCTCTCAGGCAAGAAGGCTTACACTTGTTAGAAAAGAGCATAGCTCTTGCGCAAGAAGCCCTGTCTTCCGACACTGTACTGTAAATCTTCTTGTGCAAGAGTGGGTGGGCAGTGTGGACGGTCTACGGGTTCTTGTACAAGAACGGCCATTCTTTCGCAAGAACCCACCAGTGTAGACATAGCCCCATTGTTTCGACCACCGCAGCATTACTTCAATGGTGGGAATATTTCAGAAACAAAATCCATGTAAATGAAGCAAAAGCGATACAATATTTGATGAAATGCAGCTTCAGTGTTAGTGACAAAGCTGAATGTGGATGGCATTCAATGGACCTCAAAGTCATTTTTCTCTGTCTTTGAATCTGAGCTCTGTATGTTGGTCATGACAGTAGAAGAGTTACTGATCAGTCCTTGAATGTAAATTGAATTTATGGACCTGTCTGTACAACCTGAGAATTAATTAGATGAATTTAACAGGAGGTTTTTTCTCTCCCCTTCATGTATTGATGGTTGCTCTTTTATTATGTATTGGCTAAAACAAAATATAAATAAAATGAAAGTAAACCTATACTGAATGTAAAAATCTTCTATATTAGCAGGTCTTTAATTAAATGAAAAGCTAACCATGAGCGTCATGCACAATATGCCACAAGTCCAAATTGTAAAAAATGCAGAGAATCTCAGTAAAAACCTTGACAGAATTAATATTTTATTGAAAATTAATGTAAATACACCTTATGACAGAAAACCAAGAACAGTTATTTTCTGAATGGGTGCTTAATGCAGTTTCACTAATAAATTATCAAAAGTAAGCAAAATACCATCATTATAGTTTCATGTGAGACAGCCCACGGATGTAAAATCTTGTTTAATTAGTTAACTGCTTAAGCAACTTTAAATGTAATGTTTAAAAGTTAACGTTTAACCAGTTAACGGATTAAAGGGGAGGCAGGCACCATGAGTTAACTTAACTGGAACCGGTAAGCATCACCCATTAAGAGAGAATAAAAAACAGGACTATGCAGCACTTTAAAGACTAACAAGATGGTTTATGAGCTTTCGTGGGCCAGACCCACTTCCTCAGATCAAATAGTGGAAGAAAATTGTCACAACCATATATACGAAAGGATACAATTAAAAAAAAATGAACACATATGAAAAGGACAAATAAAATTTCAGAACAGAAGGGGGATGGATGGGGGAAGGTAAATGTTTGTGAGCTAACGATATTAGAGGTGATTATTGGGGAAGCTATCTTGGTAATGGGTAAGATAATTATCTTAATTGTTCATTCCTTTTTGGAGAGTGTCGAATTTTAACATGAATGACAGTTCAGAGGATTCCCTTTCAAGTGCAGATGTAAAAGGTCTTTGTAGCAGAATGCAAGTGGTTAAGTCATTGAGAGAGTGTCCTTTCTGGTTAAAATGGCAAGAAACTGTTTTTTCTTTGTGATCTTGTCTGATATCTGTTTTGTGGGCATTAATCCTTTGGCGAAGTGTCTGAGATGTTTGTCCAATGTACATAGCAGACGGACACTTTCAGCACATGATAGCATAGATTATATTTCTGGATGCGCAGGAATATGTGTGCTTGATCTTATAACTCACTTGGTTAGGTCCAATAATGGTATCAGCAGAATGAATATGTGGACAAAGCTGGCAACGGGGTTTGTTGCAAGGGAAGGTACCAGGGTTGGTATTAGTGTGGTATGTCCTGTGGTGGTTGGTAAGAATCATCTTGAGGTTAGGTGGTTGTCTATAGGAGACTATGGGTCTGTCTCCCAGAGCCTCTTTGAGTATGGTATCCTGTTCCAATATAGGCTGTAGTTTATTGATAATGTGTTGGACAGGTTTAAGTTGGGGGTTGTAGGTGATGACAAGTGGTGTTCTATTGTTGGTTTTCTTGGGTCTGTCTTGAAGTAGATGGTTTCTAGGTATTCGTCTGGCTCTTTCAATTTGCTTTTTTATTTCTCTGGGTGGGTAGTTGAGGTTTATAAATGCTTGGTAGAGATCCTGAAGCTTCTGGTCTCTGTCAGTGGGATTAGAGCAGATGCGGTTGTATCGAAGGGCTTGGCTATAGACGATGGATGCCAGCTTTGTCCACATATTCACTCTGCTGATACCATTATTGGACCTAACCAAGTGAGTTATAAGATCAAGAACACATATTCCTGCTCATCCAGAAATATAATTTATGCTATCATGTGCCGAACGTGTCTGTCTGCTATGTACATTGGACAAACGTCTCAGACACTTCGCCAAAGGATCAATGCCCAGAAAACAGATATTAGACAGGATCACAAAGAAAAAACAGTTCCTTGCCACTTCAACCAGAAAGGACCTTGTCTCAACGACTTAATTACCTGCATCCTGCTTCACAGACCTTTTCAGACCACACTCCAAAGAGAATCCTCTGAACTGTCATTCATACTTAAATTCAACACTTTATGCCTATGTTTAAACAAAGACATTAATTATCTTACCCATTACAAAGATAGCTTCCCCAATTATCACCTCTAATATCATTAGCTCACAGATATTTACCTCTCCCCATCCCCCTTCTGTTCTGAAATGTGATTTGTCCTTTTCATGTGTTCATTTTTTTTAATTGTATCCTTTGGTATATATGGTTGTGACAATTTTCTTCCACTATTTGATCTGAGGAAGTGGGTCTGGCCCATGAAAGCTCATCACCTAATAAACCATCTTATTAGTCTTTAAAGTGCTACATAGTCCTGTATTTTGTTTCAGCTACACCAGACTAACACGGCTACATTTCTATCAGCGTTAAGAGAGAGTCTTACTGGTTAACCATTCACATTCCTAACTCAGACCAAATAAATTATTATTTCACCCAATGCATGCCAAAATGATATAAAAACCTTAATTTGGGTAAGAAAATGGTAATACTGATCGGCAAGCATGATAAGGATCAGGTGAAATCTAAAATCACTCCCTCAGGTTAAGGCAAAACTGATATTAAAATGATCCATGTTGTTTGTATTTTTCTGGATTTATTGCTGCTCCTGAATTTCCAAGACTGAGGCCAGGAACACCTACTTTCATCTTTGTCTGGCCAAGGTATTTGCATTTCTTCCCATTCACAAAGACGTTTCAAGGGCAGCAGCTAGGAAAGTAAAAGGAAAGGAATGTGACCCTTTGAGAGATGAGTCTATGTACAATTTCTGGCTTCCATCTCATATTTTGAACTCTCTGTATATGTCTTTACCAAGGTGCTAACTCCACTTTGTACGGGGGAGGGGGATATCTCTGTTCTCTCTTTCTACCTCCATCTCGGAATGAATCCCAAGGGGGCTGTGAGCGGTGAGGCAGGGCGAACAATGGAGGAATGTTTCACCCTGACCGTCCTCTACTCCAACACAAGCCCCTGGGGCCATCACACTGATCACACCAGTCACCTGGCGCCGAGAATCGCTCCCACCTAGGCCCCCATCGCCTGTCGAGCCCGCCCGGGGGAAGCCCCCATTGGCGCTGATTGGCTGCCTGCCCCTCTCCCCCGCCGGGCTGCCTCAGCGAGCTTCCCCTCCCCCTCCCTCTCCCCCAGCGAATCTCAGGAGAGGGGGTAGAAGGAGCCGCCACCGCAAGCGCCCAGCCCCGCACCTGAGAAGGGGCAGGCAAGGGCGTAGCGAGGAGAGCGCGCGGAGGGAATAGACTGAGGGGCAAGGTGAGGTGGGGGGGACGCAGGCAGAGGGGAGAGGAAAGTTGGGGGGGGAGGCGCGAAGGGCGCAGACCGAGAGGTGGGGGCCGCCTCAGGTGGCTGTGGAGCGCGGGCACGCGCTGCTGGGGGAGGGCGGGGAGTGTATTGTTTGGACACTGGTGTGACGGAGGGGGCGGGAAGCTGCCGCGTGGCCTTTCTATCGGCTCCAGCCTGCGTTTGAGCGCACCCACTTTCCGCCCCGTCTCGAGCCCGACTCTTCGTGAGGCGCTTGGCTGCCCAATGGGCCTGCGCAGTCGGGTTCTTGCGCCTGAGAACGCTGGACGAAGGTAGCTGCATAGTGCGCCTGCGCAGTAAAGGCCACGCTGGGCGAGTAGGAGAACTCTGCTCTGCGGCGGCTGCTCTTGCGCTTGCTCGGACGGAGGGTAAGTCCTTGCGCCTGCGCAGTGGGCGGCTGGTTAGTCGCCGCAGAGTGAGGCTGCGTGGGAGGCAGGCTGGTAGGTGGCCCCGGTTCGAGGCTGCGGGGCGGAAGGGGCCGGCCGGCTTGCGGCATCATGCTGCGGCGGCTGCTCGCGGCGCTTATTCACCCGTGTTTCGTCCCCAGCAGCAGTGGTGGCGGAAGCAGCATGTTCTACGCGGTGCGCAGAGGCAGGAGGATCGGGGTCTATCAGACCTGGTGAGGGGGCGGCAGCCTGGCTGCTTCGGGGTGGTTCGCTGCTAGGCCTAGCCGGGCTGGCTCCGTCAGCCCCCCCCCCTCGGGCTCGGAGGAGGCCTGGGGCCCCGGGCTGCCCGGCCGGTGCTGACAGCCCGCCCGTTGCTGCTGTGTTGCAGGGAGGAGTGCCGAGAGCAAGTCAACAGGTACCCGGGCGCCAGCTTCAAGAAATTTGACAGCGAGGCAGATGCCCGGTCCTTTGTGGGCAGCCAGGCGTGGCAATCCTCGCACCATTCAGCAGGTAGTACCTCGAGAGTCCCTTCCCACTGTCCCTGCGCGGGCAGCAGTTGCACAGGAGTGTATTCCTGGCTGGACCACTGGGGGTATTGAGTCTGCTGACCCCTGTCACATCCTCATTTGTATTTATTGTCCAAATTGTTTGTATTGCAATGATGACAGCTCATGTCTGCCCCAAACAACTTGCACATTTGGCTTCATCTCCCCTATGGACCTGAGAGCAGTACAAACTGCAAGTCACTGCTCTTTGCCAGCAGGAGAGAGCGCGCTTGCCTGCATGATTAAACCACCTTCAGGCAATGTTCCCTCTAACTTTTTCCATCCATGTGTGGAATAAACTTTGTTCTGTACCCCAAAGCAAGTGCAGATATGCACAATCAATAGAAACCCATGGTGCTGGTTGTGGGTGCTCTGCTAATCAACTGCGTGGTATTTGAATCTGTCATGGATGACTGCCCAAAAGCACAGCTAACAGGGAACACTGCCCCCAAGCATTAGCTCTGTGGGAGCTGTCTGTTCTAGCACCTTCGTTGATTATGCTTAACAGGTCTGTCAGGGAGTGTTTTTTTTTATATCCTGACATACGAAAGTTTTACCAAAAATGGACTAAGCCTAAGTGTTGATCTCCACTTAAAAATTGGATCTAGCTACATCCCTGAGGGCTGTGAAAAAATTCATACCTGAAGTGATGTACTTAGATTGATCTAACTCAGCTTCAGAACCCATTGCTTTAGGTGCTATCTCTGACAGGTGTATTACCTACACTGATGGGAAAATTCTTCCCTCAGTGCAGGAAGCATCTACGTTATTGTACTACAGTGGCATAGCTGCAGTGCCATAACTAAACAGTAGTACTGTGAACTAGGAATGTGAACGACTATTTGACTATCCAGTAAGCAAATGCTTATCAGACAGTCAACAGGCTAGTTGCTCCCACCGCCCTTGCTGCCTCTATCAAAAAGAGGCAGCAAGAGGGTGGGGGGGAAGAGGAGAGGGTGCTTTAAAGCGGTAGTGCCATGTGGAGCTTGGGGTCAGACCCCGGGCTGCATGCAGCACTGCTCCTTTGAAATGCTTCATGCAGCCTGGGATCTCCAGCTGACCTCGGACTGCATGCAGCGGTTCAAAATGGCAGTGCTGTGTGGAGCTCCAGATCAGCTGGGGACTCCGGGCTTCATGCAGCACTACTGCTGTAAAACACTGTGGGGAGCACAGGGCCAGCGAGGCAAAACACTTCAAAGGCGGAATAGCCCTTATCCACTAATTGAATCGATTAGCTCAATAATCAAATTTTACATCCCTACTGTGAACATATGGTTAATATATGATGAGATGGATAATGATAGAGGAAGTGGTACAAGGAAACAGCTGGACAGTATAGGTCACTGGGTCAAGCTATGGTCTTAGCACACCAGAGTTTTATCTTAGAAACCAGCTAGGTTTCTTGAGTTCACTATACCTGGAAGGCTATTCATCTGCAGCATATCTGGAAGGTTATCTCGTCTTCTAAAGCAACAGCAGGTTGCTCACAACTCAGCATTTTTGAAAACCCTACCATGTTCGGTGATATCATATTTTGCACCTTATAACTCAAAGATGCTTAAATTGAGGGAGGTGCGTAAAGGGGCATGGAGGAAATTAGAGTGGGGGCAGCTCTCACAAAGAGCAGGGAAAGGAGCAACTAGTGGTAGTCTGGCTCCCAACCTATGTTTCCTCTAATCTTTTCCATCCATGTGTAATTTGTGAAGAATACATTTTTCTCTGTGCACCACCACTCAAAACAAAACCTAGGTATGGTTGCTCTGCTAATCAGCTGCATAGCATTTGAATCTGAGTGGCTGCACAAACACACAAGTTACAGGGAATACTGCTCCCAGTTGTGGTTATTGGGGATTGCAGATAGATTCTGTTACTGGTAGGGGTGTGCGTGCGTGCGTGAAGAAGTTTGGGGTCTGTTATAACTGAATGGAGCTCAGTTGCTGTTGCATGGAGGGGGATTGATGAATTACTGTCAGACAAACTTCTTTTACTGTGAAGTTAACTATAAATTTTTCCATACAATTAACTGTGATTACTGAAGAAGTGTGTAACAGGGCTTGCCCTCTACTCTTCGCCTACACACAGAACTCTTGGAGACTTTTTGCTTGGAAACGTGTGGTTTATATAGTGTTTCTGGTCATCTTTGCAGTATCTTATTTACAACCACGTATCGTCTTGAACCCCATAGTTCAAGGACGGGAAAGGTGGGAAATCTCTCTTAGGACTGAGAGACATGTTCTCTCACCCTAACACTTCTTGCCTGTGCCTTACCTACCTTCAGAGCTAATGAGGGGGACATTTTCATAAGGGCCCAGCATTGGTTTTTTAATAGTAGTAGAATTATGGCAATATTGAGTGACTTCTGAAAATTGGTTCTGAGCTCATGTTTCCTCAGTATCCAATAAAACATTAAAGATAAAGAAAAATCAACAATGGCTTTGGATTAGTTATGCGAGGTATTGTTTACTGTGAAACTTCAAGGCTCTGTCTCCGATACAAATATTTAAACTGTATTGTTAAATTTACATGCTTGAATTTGGGTTATTGCTGATATGCTTAAGTCATATGATGCATTTAGTATTAAGTCCCCTGTAGACCGTTGAAGCATGACACCCAGATGTACAGAATCCCCTTTTCTTTAACCTGTGTACTTTTTTAACATAAGCTTTAATGAAACTTTTAACATTTAAACTCTTCTAAAGTTCAGCTTCATTATGCTAATGCTAAAATTGATATTTGGAAATGAAAAATGTTTTTCATATATTTACTCCTGTTAATAATATACTGTTGCAAATAAAAAAAAATCCAGGAAACACAAAACCAAAATTCTAACATTAAAACATGAACTATGCTTAGCTATGCAGAAAATATGACATGTATTCAACATGGGTCATAAATCAACTTAGCCTTAATGACTGCCTGCTCTAATTAATGCTATGTTAAATTTCAGCAGTGATGACTTAAACATGTTTTTGTTGCTGTTTTTAAAAAAGAGAAATTGTTGGGGATTAAAGGGATGCTATGAAATCTAGCTTTGTACTTGTGTCAGAATGTCTTCTCTTATTGTAACTTAAACTTTATATTTATGTGTATGTATTTTTTCTCCATTAAGGTACTAGCGGCATATCTAGTGTAACACAAAAGAGTGACAACTACTGGAATGAACTGGAAATAGCAAGCCCAAGTTACAGTAGGTGCAAGAGAAGAGATGAGCAGTCTTCAGAGGAAGAACCTAACAGAAAACATGTAAAATACAATGAGACATATTCAGCATCTTCAGTGAGCAAAGACAAATTCTCATATATGGGTAAGTCTCTTTGGTGAGACTGTAGTTGATTGAAGTACAGTGAGTGACTATGTAGTATTTTAAACAGTATTTAACAAGTCTCTACACTTGCTGCTCTCACTAGTGGCCTAAACCTGGTCCAAGTTTAAATTTTCTAATATGGTAAAGCTTTGGGATTTCTCTTTCTGTGAGGGTACATCTATACTGCATTCCTCTTTCGAGAGAGGAATACAAATGCAGGCAAACGAAATCGCAAATGAAGCACGGATTTGACTTTCCCGGCCACTTTTTCGAAATAGCCTATTTCGAGATTAAAAAATGCTGTGTAGATGCGGTTATTTTGAGGAAAAATCCCTTCTTTCAAAATAACCCTTACTCCTTATAAAATGAGGGTTAAGAGTTATTGTGAAAAGGGTTTTTTCCTCAAAATAACCGCTTCTACACAGCGTTTATCTTGAAATAAGGTATTTCAAAAAAGCGGCCGGCTGGTTTATGCAAATGAAGCACGGGAAATTCAAATCCGCACTTCACTTGCAATTTTGGTTGTCTGTGTTTGCATTCTTCTCTCAAAAGAGGAATGCAATGTAGATGTACCCTGAGAATCCATTAACTCTAGGAATCTTGCTGCTTGGTTTAACAGTGTAGAGATCTAACCTTTGCAGCATAACCAAAAGACTGTCTCTTCTTGCAGACATTTAGCTTCTAGTTTTTCCTAATGGGTGATCAAAATATGTCTCATTTTGTGGGAAAACTGGGTATCTGAATGCAAAATCAGGACAGAGGCCTGAGTAAGCACACTTAGGTGAACACATTTAAACATGTATTTTAAACTCTTAATTGGGGCTGATGGCCATCTTTGAAAAATCAGATAAGATCTGTCTTGGGGGCATGAAGCTCTTCTGCACAAGAATCTTCCTGAAGCTTGGCAAAAACTGAAGTTTTTGTGAAAAAGTTGGGGCTAAAATTATTTTATGGATTCTGCAGCAGCAGCAATTTGTGCATAGAAGTTGCTAGAGCTCTACTGGAGGAAATACAAATCTGTTGGCAAATAGTTTTCTGTATTTCAGAGAGGCTTATGCCTTTGAACAATTGGAATTGTTTTGTCACATTTTTAATAGGTTGCATGTATCAATCTCTTTCAGGTGACTCGGTAGTGGTTTATACGGATGGCTGCTGCTCGAGTAATGGGCGTCATAAAGCACGTGCTGGAGTAGGGGTTTATTGGGGACCAGACCACCCTTTGTAAGTAATTTGAGATCATAGTTACTTGCGGCTCAAAAAATTACTAATGTTGGTCTTGTATTGTTTATCACTTAAATTGTATTACCTCTAAATTCAGAAACTTCACATTACAAAACCCAGTTAACTGACCAAGACTTTATCTAATATGGTGATGTTATTAAATAGATAATGAGCTAAAGGTATATTTGGTTATTACATTGGAATATTGAATCACAGGCATTACTGAGGAAAGATATGAAGGTGTTTGTAAAGGTTAGCAATGTATGCAAAATATAATAACTCCAGCTCGACAAATTCCAATATTTTGGAAGATTTAATTTAGACTCTTATTAAGAAATTTCACAAGTTTACATGTAATAAAATGACTGTGCTCAACCTGGAGTTTCCATCTGCAGTAGGAACAGGGCCAAGCATGTCTAAATTTCAGATTAGTTGCCACTTAACCAACATCTCCCCTTCAGGGGGACTAAAGTTTATGCTCCAATTCTACCTGATCAATGACTGTACACTTTATGCAGTAGTATAAACCATTAATGTATTGTGTTGCTTTTAAACAGAAATACGAGTGATAGGCTTTCTGGACGGCAGACCAACCAAAGAGCTGAAATACATGTAAGTTGTGAAGTTTTAAAATTGTTTTATGCTTTTTGAAAAAGAACTGAACACTATGACTCCACACAACTTAATCCATTCTTAAAGCTCCTAGATATTTCCAGATACTAAATTTTAGTTTTCACAGGGATCTACTTTTAGAGATTTAGCAATGATACAAGTCGTAAAGGAAGCAGCTGATTCTGCTAATAGTGTTTCTGCATAGGAGTAGGTAGAGTTGCTGGTTTTTGGAGCTCATGTTGGCTAGTCTTCTGTTTCTGGGGTTTCAACCTGAAATATGTTTTTGTATTTAGTTCTGTTCATCCTGTCTCAAGGAAAATAGCTCAGAAGCAGTGAGGAGTTCAGATGTAAATGATGAGCCTTTTTTTTTTTAAATAAACTGAACAGTCATAATGTTCTTTTAGCTATTAAATGAATAACAGGCATGATGGAGACCTACAGAATAATATCTGATGATATGAAGATAAAAGGAGTGCACCTTTTTCAAAAGCAAAGGATAATCCAATGAAACTGAGAGGTGACATTCAGAATTGATACAAGAAGTACTTTAACACAACATGGCTATGTCTACACTGTGTCCCTTTTCCAGAAAAGGGGTCCAGTGTAGACATAGCCCTCGTGACTAACTTTTGGAATAATGTTTTTGTCAAGAGCTTAGGAATCAAAATACCATTAGATATTTATGTGGATAATCAGAACATCCACAAATCTATTAGAGGAAAATAACCGAGACACACAGGAAGGAAGGAATGTGCTTGTCATTAACTGGCAAAATTGAGACAAACTTCCTCAGTGAACTTGTTGTTCCATAATTGGCTCTTCTGTCAGGCGTCATCTTTATACTGAGGCATGCTGTATCCTGATTCTGATAGACTTCTAGACTATAAGATATCTAATATGATCCTGCAATTTGAATGTCTCTGTCTTGGCACTAAATGCACTAGTTCTATTTTTTAATAGGTATTATGTTCATAATTTTCTGATTTTAATTTTTTGCTTTAGGCAGCATGCAAAGCAATAGAGCAAGCAAAAAGTCAAAACATCAAGAAGCTGGTTATTTACACTGATAGCAAGTTCACCATAAATGGTAAATTCTACTGTGCTTTGGATGTAGAACACATACTTTAATATTGTATAAGTCCTACAAATCTGTTTCTGAAAAATGGTTTAGG